TTATGGTCAGAATTCATTTTTAAAATCCCTTAAGTCACCTATCAGAGTATATATTGTACAATCATTTTTGTATTCAGTCCTGTAGGGTAGTTCCTATTCACACTGAGGTTTGAGAACCCATGAGCTAGAATAAAGAAAGGTAAAATGTATATCCAAATGTCAGAGTATTACACGTATTCTGCTTTTCTCATAACTATGGAATCCCTAGGGGAGACTGAAAGATGCTAGCAAATTCAGAAGTGTTCCCACTAGCCTGCAGGGTTGGACTTGTTCTATTCTCATATCTTCTCTGTCAACTTGTAGCTAGCTAAGAGACCTGAACTTTGCTGTGAGGAGTCATTGGGGTCATACTCCAGGGCACACATTAAGTGGGGAGGCTAGGTTCTCAAGTGAGCTCAGTGGTAAATTAAACGGGGTGCAAGCTGCTGCTCCCACATATCTAGGATGGCTCTTTATTAAGCACACGGGATGTGCCAGGGTCACAGCTATGCATTTGCCATGTATCATCCCATTTAATCCTCATGACAACCTTGAGCTGGTCATTATTGTCATCTTCAGTTTCGAGATGAGGAAGCTAAGAACCTAAGGTGTGTAGGGGACTGACATATATTTTCCTAGTTTAAGAATTAAAGTTAGTGAGTAATGTACGTGTTCTGCCCAGAGTGTTTGAAAGTAATGTGTTCTGGACAGGCTCCCTGTGAAAAACCAAGTTGTTGCCTAGAGGCATAACAAAGGACCTGAGCTGCAACTAGCAAGAGCAGCCACACCCCACGGCATTCGGGGTCTGGAGGCCACATGATAAACACCCCATAAGATGGCTGGTTAGTCAATGATGGGTAAGACTCCTCAAGGGAGGGGCGACCTAAGCCAGGCACAGCCTCCGGGGTTCAGCCGAAGATCTTAGGGGGTCACCCTAAGAGAAACTGGGGATGAGAAATGCCCCCTGTGGCTCACCTTGCCCATCCTTGCTAATCTCAGTCCTTTATCTATGCCTAGTGCCTAGAGCAACCACCTGGAGATTCTGAGTCAGGGGATATCTGCTTCCCTA